GTACTGGGGACCCCAGACCTGGATGCAGTACTCCAGAGGAGGCCTCACGAGGACAAAGCAGGAGGGGACGGTCACTTCCCTTGCCCTACTGCCATCCTTCTGTTGATGCAGCCCAGCATATTGCTGGCTTTCTGGGCTGCAGGTGCACACTGCTGGCTTGTGTCAAGCTTTTATTCCACCAGAACCCCCAACTCCTTCTCCACAGGGCTACTCCCACTCCATTCGTCACGCAGTCTGTACTGGTGTTTGGGATTGCCTTGACCCAGAGACAGCATTTTGCGCTTGGCCCTGTGAGGTTCACACAGGCCCACATCTCAAGTCTTTCCAGCTCCCTTTGGATGGCATCCCTTACTCCTATTGTGTCAGCTGCATCACTCGGCGTGGCATCATCCATGCTGAGAGTGCATTCAGTCTTACTGTTTATCACTGATAAAGATACTAAGCAGCACTGGTCACAAGACAGACTCGAGGGACACCATTTGTTACTGATCTCCACCTGTGGAAGTAGGTATGCTGCATGCTGGCCATGGGGCCAGACTACCCTTTCATCTGTGCTTCTGCTCAACTGCGTTGCTCTGGAAGGAGCTAGAAACGTCAGATTCGAAGAGGAGCAGAAGTGCTGAGTGTGATGTCCTGCTATGCTGTTGTGCATGGTAGCACCTTCCATAGGTGATGTCAGGTTGAGGTTGCAGTTAGGAGATAGATGCAAAACAAAGCTGCTTTGGATCACAGCAAACTTTTATCAGCAGTGTGTCGGCTGTTGCTCACCCAGACTTGCCTGTGTGGTTATCTTCAGCTGCATGAGTAAGGTGAGCTGTCTGGTTACAGGTAGTTTTATGTTGCCTTCCACTAATTGCTGTAAGGTAAAGCGTTCGAAATATATATTATAAAGAGGTAGGAGCTATAGTTGAAGCTTTAAAGCCTCTCCTGCTATGCAGATTTTAAACACTTTTACCATGGTGTGTCAAGTGAATGACAGAAGGACCTTTATAGCAGCTGTTGTATGGAAAGGAAGGAGCAGAATGTGGGCAGAGAGCTGTGTCTGGCTTCTGGGGGAAGAATAGGGTGGTGTCTGCAGCAGATGGGGGGACACAGGAAGGATCTGCATTCTTCTGCTCATCTAGCAAATGAAGGAAGGGTTATGGAAGCCTTAATGCTGCACATCTTTGTGAAACACGTCCTCGTTCTTTCCAGTAAATGGGATCTTTGGTGTCAGTACCACCCTCTTTCCAGGAGGACACTGGCTTTCTTTTGGGCTGAGGCTGCTGAAAGGTTTCACTTGCCAGTTTTGTTGTAATTGCTAAAGAAAACCATTCTGCTCCACGTAACTTAAAAAGAAGTTTCTCTGTGCAGAGAAAGTTTTGCGTACAGATATGGTGTCAGTTTGTGTTCCAGATAGATGTGCCTGAGAACTGAAGACAATTGTGGAATGTGATGGCAAAATCCACCGCACTGCTGAGCCCATACGGCCAGTGGAAAATTGATAAATAGCTGGAAATGCTCTACATGTTCCCTATTACGTTTATTAATATTAATATATGCTCGAGGAGCACCAGAAACACCAACTACAGGTACAGTTGAACATTTGTGCAGTTTTCATAAATAGTGGAAGCAGTGACATTAAACATATGCAGGAATCCCCATAGTTATAAATATTTACAAATATTTATTTTGGCAAAAGCCAAAATATTCAGATGTTCTGAGCTGTGCTCACTAATACAGTGTGTGTATTTGTCACTCAGCACGCTTCTCAAGTTGGGAGCTGAATTATTGGTCAATGCAAGGGATTTCCCTTGCTGTATCACTTTGTATTTCACAGATATTTAGATTTCATTGCAGTTCAGAAAAGCACACCACTTCAACTACGTGCAATTAGCACGCAAGCCTTGCAGGGATGGCATTGATTTCATTTACCAGCAAGGGAGACCAAATGCAGCGTGTGGCTCGTGAGCCAGATCGGACACAGTAATTAATAATCTTTATCAGAGCCACCTCTCAGTGAGCATCTCTTTCCATAAGCCGTCCAGAAACGCATTGTTTTTTTCATTTACATTTCACTACAGATGTCAATGAAAGCACAGTTCCTCCTAAAGCATCATAATGTATGTAAACCATTGCGGGAAGCGTAGCATGCAGAGCCTTGGAGACTGCAGATGGAGAGAAAAGGCTCCTGATTTCATAAAAATAACAAAACCTGTTTTAACATATTGTGCATTAAATATTGTTCATTTGCATACTTCCTATGGCTAGGTTATAAAAGCCCACCATGTGGTGGACTTGTTGGAAGTCTGAAAAGATACTCTTTCTCCAAATGGAGATGTGTTAGTGGAAGCTGCTGCTTAATTATAACACAAAAATAACTTGTTTTCTGCATTATTATTATTATTATTTTTTAACGTTTCATTTTTGTTTTTTTGTTGTTTTTTTTTTTACTTCTGTAGGTTTTCAGGGGTGGAATTTTAGTTGTTTCCTTAGAATACAATAGCATTATGGAGGATAGCGTAGTGCAGTCCCTGCGAGTTGTGCTAGCTCGGGCTCGCTGTTGTACAACAGTCTGCCTGCCTGGAGCCAGCAGCAGCAGGGACTCCTCGATCCGGAGCTTCCAGCAGATAGCCCAGCAGATTGTACAGTAGCACTTGCATTATTTTTTTGCATCTTTATATAGAATTGTATAATTTCATGTACAGCACAGCCACGGTTGAAACACTCGATAGTACAAATGCACGGTACCGCAAGTTAAAATGAGAAATGGCTGTCAAATCATAAATAGAAAATGTGGAAGAGAAGGAAAAAATCAGTCTTTTGGGTGTAGAAGTCTTGCATACACGTGCGCATATGATGTCAGGGCTTGAGAAAGGATGCAGTGACCCACACGCTGGAGGGGAGCAGGTTCCCTGGCTCAATGGCCTTGGCTTGGCCTGGTCCCATAGAGTTTCGGGAGCCTGGAGCAGTGGGTGGCATCGGAGCACAGGCGCCCATTAAGCCCAGGCTCTGAGCATCTCAGCGATGGCCAGAGCGTATGCAGCATTCCAGGTTTTGAATGCTAACATTGCCAACTTCAGATCAATCTGCTAATTTATAAGCTGCCAACATAAAGAGTGCAGGCGAGTGTGAGGTGACAGGGGTGCCTGCATCCCCGGGGAGATGAAGGGTAATTGGAGCAGCCTGGCGATTTGACTTCAGTGCCTGTCTTGCTGGGAAGGGTGCAAATGAAATTGGGAAGTGGCAGAGGAATAGCAGTGACCTTTCTTAGGATAAGATGGTAGGATCTTAGTGTCAGCTTTTTCTTACAAATAAAGCGATTTTCAGTGGAACTTGAGTTTTTTTAGGGGGAAGCACGGTTTGCGAGCCCTATGGAGATCAGTTCACACCTTGCCAAGCTGAGAGCTGCTGAGACTTGTCATTTGTCACCTGCTTTTCTCAGCACAGCTCACTGCTGGCTGACTGTCAGGGCACAGGGTGTTCTCTGATCACTGACAGGTATCACTGACAGGCCCCAAAGCCCCACAGCCTTGCACACCACCTCCAGTCCACTGCTGAAGCAGCCCCACGAGGGATGCTTGGGGCTGGAGAGGATCACTCCATGTGTCCCAGCAGGTTGGTGTGTGCATGTGGCTGGATCTGGGGACATGAGTGGAGACTGCAGGTCTGGATGGGGACCCTGAGCAGCTGCCTTGGTGGCAGTGAAGCTCATTATAGGCTTGGAGGGTTACCATGCAGTTTTAGGGAAGGAATCATTTGGCATCTTCCTGACTGCCCCTTGTCAGCTTGGATGTCAGGAGCAATTTCTTCTTGGAAAGAGTGATGAGGCAGTGGCACAGCTGCTCAGGGAGGTGATGTACCTGGAGTGCTCAAGAGCCGTGGAGCTGTGGCACTGAGGGACATGGTCAGTGGTCATGGTGGGCTGTTTTGGGGTTTGATATGAGAAGATCTGAGAAAGATCTGAGATCTTTTCCAACCAGAATGCTTTTATGATTCCCCGCCATATGCTATGATGTCCTTCCTTATCTTATACAAGAGGGCAAGCTGCCAAAAACTGCCTTTTCAAAATCAATTTTTTCTTGGTTAAAAATAAATAAACAAGTGCCTGATCCCAGGTACCCTTGTTGCTGACTGCTGCCTCTGTGAAGGCCTCGTGAAGAATCACTGTGGTAAATCAGCCTTTGGTGTCTGAGCTCCTGAACACTCCATTTGATGAAAGCTTTGCAAGTTTTGTCCTTAATTAAGCAGCCCATCTCTGCTTCTTGCATGGGTGTTGGAAGGGCTGGGGTGTATCCTTCCTGAGAGGCTATTGGAAGATGCTTTTCTAAGGAAGGAATGCTCTATAATTAAGCTTAGAAATGGGTGGTGATCCTTTCCTCGAGGAAACATTTATCTCGGGTCTGAGGTCTGCACAGCAGACAGGAGGTGACCAGTGTGTGATGACATGAAAAGGCTGCAGTAGTTGAGTTGGTCCATGGGAACTCTTCTCTGTTCACTGATAGAGGAGAGGGACCTTTGGAGAAACCAGTGTGTAAAGTTGTGTAATTAAGGTTTATTCAGAAAAACATCTGTGTGGTGGAACTGGTTTTGCAGAGCCAGCGTTGATGGTAGCATTCTTTGGTTCAAGCACCTGGACATGAGCTCAGTCATATTCCTTCAGCAAGAGTGCATGTAAGATGTCATAATGGAGTTTTGCGATGGGGGGAAAACAAAAGCCCAAGCGAAATAGCAGGGGGAAAACAAAAAAACTATCCAACTCAGCTGGGTCAGACAGTTGTCCAGCAACTGTGCAGTGGTTTGTGCTGCGTTAGGACAGGATCCACAGGTTTTGGCAGGGCAGTGTTAGAAAATGGGGCCGCACAAAGTGCCTGGAAGTGTTTCTTTCCGGAAAGAAAATGCAGCCAGTCCTCTTTCTATGGTCTAAACATGATTGGTGTCAACTGATGGGAAGTTCTGCTCTAGCACCAGGAGGTCTGACTGTGTTAATTTGCTGCTTTTCCCTCGTCCCTTCTCCGCAGCAGCAGCAGGAGATGCTGGCAATGAAGCATCAGCAGGAGCTCCTGGAGCACCAGAGGAAGCTGGAGCAGCACCGGCAGGAGCAGGAGCTGGAAAAGCAGCACCGGGAGCAGAAACTTCAACAGCTGAAAAACAAAGAGAAAGGAAAGGAGAGTAAGTAGCAAAAGCTCACTTGGTTCAGTGATGACAGGTAGAGCAGATGGATGGAAGCCATAAAGCAGCTTCATAAAGCTGAAGAAGCCTCCCTGATAGCCTTTCTACAGAGCTTCTCTGCACAGCAGCTTATGTAAATGTTTTGGAGGTATTGAGGGTAAAAGAGGAATTTATTTCTATGCTTTATCTTCATTTTTGTCTTTCTAAATGCCGTTTTAGCATTTTTCAAAAGGAAGCGTATCATCTCTTCATTTGATTTAACATTTTCTGAAGTATTTTTGGCAGCTTTCCTAATGGAGGCAGAATATTAAAACCATAAAATACACCAGATGCACACTGCTTTTCTTTTTCTTTTCTTAATTTCACCCTTTTAAGTTGTAGGCGAGTTCTCAGTTTTTAGCTTTAAAGTGTTTTCATTCAGAAGCACTTCTTTCATGAGGTACAGACTGTGGTTGGCTTCCCCACGTGTTATTATGCACTTCACAAGATTCAGTAACATGATTATGGCCTCGCAAATCCCCTTATCAAAGATACTTTGGTTACTTGTTCAGTTTTCTTTTAGAAGTGAATGGGAGGAAAAATACCTTGCGGAGTTGCACTGTCAACTCATTAGGTCTCCATTCCGTGTGAAATAAGGCAGCCTGTGATGGAAGCAGCAGACAGGGCTAAGGGCTACCAGCAGAAGAGATGCTCTCTGGGGACTAGGAATGAGATAAAGCTCTCAGAACAACTTTTCCAGCAGGAAGAAGCTGGGGAGTAGGAGGCTGCAAATACTTTCCTCATTGAATTCCTCATTCCCTCTGCGCACATCATGCTAGAACAGACTTTTGTTTAACCTGCGTTCATGGGAGGGAACTTGCAGACCTGCCCCAATATCTCAGCAGAGCAGTTCATAGGAGGTCCAACGTCTGTGTTTGTGTTGGGTTTTGTTTGGGTTTTCTGTGTTTAAGCTGTAGGGGAGAAACCAAAGGATCAGAATTTCCCTGAAAGAAGCAGTTGAACTGGGCTGTTTTCCCAAATAAAAACAGCTTGAACTGAGTGAGATCTGTAAGTCCTTCCACTTCATCCTGCTATTCTCATCAACTGCTTATACTGTTTCAGTGTTTCAATGGATCCCTCTGCAAAATTGACATCTGGCTATTCTCATTAAGATAGTTTGCAATAAACAAAAGCTCCTGAGTGCCTGAGCACCTAAATCTGAAGCATATGAAGCACCTTCTGGTCGAACCATAGGTGTAGAGGAAAGAGCAGAACTTAAGGAATCTGTGTCTACAGTTTTATTTTAAAAATACTTTCATTTGAGAAGTACTACAGCATATAATCACTATAGAAGCTTACCTCTTAAGAGTACCTATCCTTCTCACATCAGAAAATTTTACAAATAGTTGACGTTGTCCAAATCTGAAATATGAAGTCTGTAATAGTTGAAGAAAGTCGTTTATTCTCCATCCTTCCTCCATCACTGTAAGCCAAAAGGCATTGTTTTGTACCTTGTAGAAGGCAAATCACAAATAGAGTTAGCTTAACGTAGTAATAGTCCCTTCCTTTCTCATCTCAGGATCCTTGAGCCTTATGAATTGGAATCTGTTATCACAAAGCATATGATCAAAGCATGACTTCTAAGAGAAGAAGGAAAGTATATATGAGACTAAAGGTGCTTTTTGGGCAGGATAAGGAGTGATAGTTGGTTGTCCTGTCTTTCCACTGTTATGACTGAACCTAGAACCAGCTGTGTGCATCAGTGTTTCCAGACAGACCAAATCTGTCTTCCTGTCTCCCTCCTCCTGGGCAGGGACCATCCCATGCCCTTCTGCTCAGGCAGTCTCAGGCTGGGGCTTTCTCCTACAAGCTGGCAGGCTGTGATCAACCTACACTATCACAAAGGGCTTTCTTTTGTTAGTTTCCATTGGTTCTGCTCCTCTCTTCTTGCACTGTGCAATCCCCTCCTTCTTGGAGGAGCTCGCTCCTGCTTCTGACCTTTATTCTCTTACCTCTACCCGTGCTTTATCCTACATACAGTTATAGTTCGATTCTGGGACAGCATTTAACCTGTCTTCTTTCATTCCATATTATCCTTCTGTGGTCTGTCTCTTCTGGCTTCCTGCCTGTGGATTTATTCCATGCATGTGGGCATCTGACTTCTGCTCTTGCCCTCAATGCCTGTTCCCTGCATGGTGACACACCACTGTCTATGTGCCACCTTGTGCTTTTCTGCCTTTTGCTTCCTCTTCTTGAATGTCTCCACTGGGTATTGCCAAGTAGTTCTGCCTGTATCCCATCACTACGTATGAGATACATTGAAAATGAATAAGATTTTTCTTCTCGTCTTCCGACTCAAGGATCAGGAGCTGAACGATGATCTGCTCAACATGACATCTTTGTCCACAGCTCCAGCTTTGCTCAGGGTAGAGAAGATCTTCACGTTTTTATCCTGTTAGCATATGTGGGGCCCTTCAGCTGCTAGTTTAGGAGGAAGATGTGCCAAAGAAGCCTTTGGAAACCTCACAATCCAACAGCATTTGGCTTCAAATTCCTCTAAATAATGTCAGATTTATCTAAAACCAATAGGACACAACCATGTTTGAGTATTTTTAAGATGCTAATAGATCAAAGATGACACTTTTTGGAGAGAGAAGGCCTTGATGTGTGAATTTGTCACCTATTCTGGTCTAGCCATGTTGCTCACAAACTCATAGGAATTTATCTCCAGCTCCTCAGTTGAACTTCCCACTGGGGTGCATGCCAAACCTACATTTTGTAGAACTAGTGAGAAATGCAGGGCTCCAAAAAAGTGAATTTTCAAGCTTTTCAACTCTGCTTCAGTGGTTGAGCAATATTACATTTTCAGGCAGTGCTTTGCAGAATTATTGCAGTTTCCTTCTCTTGTGGAGATATTAAAAAATGAAATGAAATGAAATGAAATTGTTTCCCCGGTCTGTCAAATGGCACCGTGGTGTTGTGTAGGATCCAGGAGACAGAAGATCACCCTGTTGTATTTTAGGTATGCCAGCAGAGCAGACGATTTTCCTGGCCTTTTCATTTACTTGTAGCCCAGTTATTTTCCTTTTGGAATTCTTGGTTTACGCTGTGGTGTAGATGAACCATAATTTTCCACATGTTCTGCTTGCCAAACTTTCTATGCATTACTCCATCAGGAACTCTGCCTGTAAGTCTGTTCTGTCAACTGAATGATAATTTTAATCCATCACCGCAGTAAAACAGACTGGTCTCTATTGTGGAGGAAATAATGATCAGAAATTATACAGTTGACATTTTAACTCTACGCTACGAAATTACTGACTTTTTTTCTTTAAATGTTAGATTCTCTATTTGAAGAAACAGATTGCACACTTGTAAGTGAATTGGAATATTATGTGTGTCTTATTGTACACAGATACTTCTGAACAAAGAAGTCCTTATTTACAAGCTTTTTCAAGGCAGCATCTACATATGAGACATTCGTCTCGTTCCCCTTCTGCTTGCAGATGTGACATTTAAAATTTCGTTTGAGTGTACACAAGACCCTTTTTCTTAAATACCTTTGATTAAAGGAAAGCTGCAGTACCTCGTACGGTGCTTTCTTCTAAGTTAACTTTTATGCAAGTGTAAAAATCCTCTTCAGAGATCTTTTGTAGTAAAATGATAAATCTCTGATTAGATCTCCGCTTTCAAACATCCGCTGCGATTATATGCAAAGCTGAAGGGGCAAAAAAAGAGCTCCTTACTGGAGGCACTTTGTTCTTCTCTTTGAAACAGAAGCTCCTCTATTGGACTGAAAAACCAAGCCTTTAATTCTGAATCCTTTTAGAAATGTTCATTCTTAAAGTATGTTTTTTTGTGTTGTTCTTTTTTTTTTTTGCTATGGCTTTTGTCCAAAGTCAATTGATTAAATATCTTTAATTTTTGTTCTTGACTTCTCAGGTGCAGTGGCAAGCACAGAAGTAAAGATGAAATTACAAGAATTTGTTTTAAATAAGAAGAAAGCTTTGGCACACCGGAATCTCAACCACTGCATTTCCAGTGACCCTCGCTTCTGGTATGGGTAAGTGGTGCTGGGCTTGTCTGTGTGATGCAGCCTGTGCCACCTTTTCTCACAATTGCTGCAGCTGGGGAATAGTCCTGATGTATGCAAAAAAACAGTGCTGGTGGTGGCAATGATGATGAGGAGACGGTTGGACTGGATGATCTTATAGGTCGTTTCCAACCTTGTGATTCTATGATTACATGATTCTATTTACTGGTCAGCCGTAGCACTGATAGAGCTAGATTTTGAATTTGGTGAATGATCATGAGTGAAAAGCATTTTTGAAGGGTTTCAAAGTGAATATTTTTCCTATCTTCAGTGCTATCCCTGTATTTTTGTGAGCAGTGGTCTTTGCTGACGTCTTGGATCCGTGATTATTTGAACTAAGAGGTTCTGCTGTCACGATCTGCCTTTATAAGTTCTTTGGTTTTTCACCAGGATTTGCTCCAGATAAGGATTATAAAACATGAACTTTCAGGAAATTAGGCTTTATGCTTAGTGAACTGCAACTCAGGATAGTTGAGCTAGCATTGCTTTTATTGCCTGCTGCTCATCTCAGTCTCTCGGAGCTGGAAGTTTTGTTTCCCTGTAAACTGCTGAAAACACGAAGTGCACCCTGTGTAATTCTGCTGATGTCTACATTTTCTACTGAAAATGCTCTGCTGTGGATATCCTAGAAAATCCAAATGTCATGTGAAGTGAGAAGATAGCGGGTGTTCTTAGAATGTTGTAGAAGCAAAGAGTGATTTCTTCAATTAGCTCTAATGTACCAAAGAGCCATGGGTGGCATTAGAAATGATGAGGTATAAATTCCAGTTCTAGAAATCCACTTCTTTGTAAAGAAAAATTGGAAATTTGATGTAATTTGAAAACATTCACTACTAAAACATTATAAAAATATCTATTAAAAAAAAAAAAGTAATGTGTTCAGAATGTTGCTTTATCGACCATAACATTGATGAAATTTTGAATGAGAAAATCCAAGAAAATTTTGCTGTGAAAATTGTTTTCAAGTTGAGAATCTGGTATTATTTTCAGTCTTCAGCAATAAGCATTTATGTAGGGTTGATGAGGTCATTGTCAGCTGATGGTTCCAAATGCAAGAAACTAAGCTGAAATTAAATTGGAAAGATATCCCAGCTATGAGCCAGAACAGAAATGCTGAAGTGTAGTTGGCAGAAGATTCTAATGTTATTCTGCCAGGGGGAGATTGAGCAACTCTTAATACGTCTGTGAAAATCTCATCTGAGATTTGAAAATTGTATGGCTGTGACGTTGGTTAAAGTGGTGAAATGCGGGTAGGGTGTGCAGAGCTAATGTTTAGGGCCTGCTAAGGTGGTGTGAAAGATAGTAGAAGAAATAGGAAAAAATGAATCTAAATCATGGCAACGTAAATATGTATTTTTAAATAAGTGATTTTCCACTATCCTTTATTGAGACTCACAAAGAAATTAGGGGATTTTGGAAGCATTTGAAGGCTCTCTGAGGCATTGTGTTCTTTTTATTTATTTATTTGTTTAAAATGCCTAACTTTAATGCAGAAATTATATTATATTACAATTAAGGCTAGTAAATAAATGCCTTCTTCCAAAATCTTTGCTCTTTGGCCGAGAAACCTCACCTAGAACTGTCATCATAGATGATTTTAATCTGTTAGAAAAGGAGGCTGTGGATGCCCCATCCCTGCAGGCATTCAAGGCCAGGCTGGATGTGGCTCTGGGCAGCCTGGGCTGCGGGTTGGCGACCTGCACACAGCAGGGGGTTGGAACCAAGATGATCGTTGTGGTTCTTTGCAACCCAGGCCATTCTATGATCTGTGATCTGTGTCTAAAAGGGAAAAAAGAAGTTTGGGAGTGGTCTGCATGTCTTATGTTTTACAGTTTAGAATTAACTGCTTTTTCACCGAGATGCCAGCACTCGGCTGAGTCCAGGTCAGTGACATGGGGTATGCTGCAGGGCCAGCTTTAGTGCAGTAACTTACTGAGCCCAGCTGTGCTTTGGGTTTCAGTCTTCCTTCCTCACTTCAAGCAAATGCTGAGACCCTTCTGAACAAGGATACATTCTTTAAGGTTCATTATCTTTAGGATTTTTTGTTATTAATGTGGTGCATTTTCATCTGAACATCCCTTTCTTGTGGTGCCTCGGGGATGCAACAGGTAGAGCCAGCATACTGACTGTTCCACAACAGGCTAAGCCCCTTTCTTACAGGCTTACCATTCCCTCATCTCACCTCCATCTGTTTAGTAGCAGGGTTTGGTTTCCAACACAAGACATGGGGAAGGAAGAAGGAGCCTCAGAGGCCTCACAAATCTTTCCAAGGGCATGCTTCAGTGATGAGTTGCAGGCAGATGGGAGCTCGTTTTGCCCAGCTTTTGAGGAGGGCAGCAAGGCTCTGCAACTGCAGATGAGAGTTCTGAGTGTAGCCCTTCGGTTGTTAAGGCACGAGCTGAAGATTTTTTTGTTTGTTTGTTTCCCTTCTATTTAAATTCAGAAGAAAACAAAACACACAAAAAAGAGAAAGAAAACCTTTAAATTAATTGTGTATTACTATTTATTTGTATATCATCTCATAGGTTACCAATTCAGTTACAGGGATATTTACGCACATACTTGTAACGTGATTTAATTGGGTGGTGGTTGGATTTGACACACGCAAACAAGGCTTGCAGAAGATAGATTTGATGCTCCTACTGTGAGCAGGCAAACCAATTAAATGGTAACAGATGCTGAAATAGTCTCTTAAATGACACGCCTGCTTTTAAGCACTTCCTCTGGTATTATTAAGGTTTGCAGTTTCCTTTAAAAAATTTAAAAGCGTTACTTGTAAACAGCAGTTCTCTTAAGGGTCTTGAACACCACAACAGTTCTGCGTCAGTGGCTTTGACATGAAATATGTGCTCTTTGCATGTGAAATAGCTGTTACTGCCCACTAAGATGTGTGGATAATTTACCTTCCGTATCTTGTATGCGCTTGAGCTTCACTCAGCACTGTCTTTTGTCTATAATCGGTGAATATTTTCTAATTAATCACCAATATTAAAGGACGTTGTAGGCAGATGTGCAGGTCAAACCTTGAGATGGAATGCAGCTAGCTGCAGAGGTCTTGCCAAATGTACTCATGATCCAAAAGATCTACTAAAGGAAAGAACTAGGTAATCATAGAACTATAGAATCATTCAGGTTGGAAAAGACCTCTCAGATCCCCACGTCCAACCCCAGCCCACCCCGCCATGCCCACTGCCCACATCCCTCAGTGCCACCCCTTCACAGTTCTGGAGCACCTTCAGGGACGGTGACCCCAGCACTCCATGGGCAGCTGTGCCACTGCAGCACTGCTCTGAGAAGAAATTGTTTCCAGTAACAAACCTGAACCTCCCCTGGTGCAGCATGAGACCATCACCTCTCATCCTATTGCTGTTAACTGGGAGAAGAGGCCAACCCCCGGCTCACCACAACCTCCCTTCAGGCAGCTGTAGAGCAATGAGGACCCCTTGAGCCTCCTCCACACTGAACAACCCCAGCTCCTTCAGCTGCTTCCTATTATCTCTCAGAGGCTTTCACAGAGATCCTGCTCCGTATTTGACTCCATGGTATTCAAGCCATTTTGTATACTCTAATATATGCAGCTCCAGTCTAAACGCAATTGTTTGGGATTCTGTGGTGAACTATAATTTTCAGATTATGTTAATGGCAGGCAACAAAAGAAGAGGTTCTTTTGAATTCCATTGTCAGACTGTCCCTCCTGTGGATTCTGAATCTGCTGGGCAGCCCTCATCGCAGGAGGTCCTGCTCTTGAAGACACTTAACATAAATAAAAGTGACTTACCAGGAGCAAAGATGGAGCATCTCGGGCTCAGCAAACAGGGCTGTTATTTCCCTTGGAAGTTTTCAGAAGTGCTCTTGGGAAGTAGCCACTCGACACAGTAGCCATCGTGAAAGGGAGTTGAACCGAGTATTTGCATGCTAAGGAGATAGAAATAATTACACGTTAAATTATGCCAACGTACATAAATGTTGCTGTTCTCTGTGCGCAAAGGATTCCAACAGAGACATGCGTTCAAATACATATTCAGTTTACATTGCATGAATATGTTGGAAGTGTCAGACATGCTTTGCTGTGTGCACGGGCTTTGGATGGACCTCGCAGCCCAAAGCACAGAGAATGTGTTATGTGAAGGTATGTACTTCCAGGAATGCCTGCAAACTCGATTTAGTATACAATTTCACCTCTTTCAGGACCTCTGAAATTCCTGAACAGGCATGCAGACCAGTGCATTTTGCTCTGAGCACTGTAGGGTGTTGGATCCTAGTCCTCAAGCAATGCAGTGCATTCATGTTTGCAGAGTGAAACGTCTGTCATTCAGCAGCTCCAGAGCACATCTAAACAGGCCCTTTGAGTTCCTGCACATTCCCTAACAAAGTGATGAAAATAGCTTCAATGTACGTGATTGTTCAGCTTAAGACATGATTTAAAAAAAAAAAGAAAAAAAAGGAAAGAAAAAAATCCTACTGCTTGTATAGGCAAGAGAAAAATGCGATTGTGTGCCATGGTGGGTTGGAGGGGCTCTTGGCTTGCGTAGCCTGGGCTTCCTGTTTGTGAAACATCTCTCTGTGCAGCCTTCCTACGGTATGAGCAGAGAAAGCGACGTCTGTTTTCAGGAGGGATTCAAATATTTTTCAACGTGGTTCTGTTTTTATTTCAGGTGATGATTAAACAGTGCTGCGTATGGGCATTTAGTGCTGCCAGTGTGACAAAGGACATGTGTAGATGTGTGCGAACGCTCATGTGAAATGCAGCAGTGTGAGAACACACAATTATTCAGCCTGTGTGTAGGGAAGTTCGGGATATAAAGGGGGGAGGATTAGGAAGGCGCAGTGAATCACGCTGCTTGGTGGGAACTGCTGGTATGAGACTCTATATAGACACTGAACAAACTTTTCAGAAGTGTTTGTGACAGTCACTTAGAAAGCACGGTGTGTTTTTCTGCTGTTTTCTTGAAGGGCGTAACTAGAATCACTATGCCGCATCTCACCCAGCAGCCTCCTTCTGACTCGAGCTTCAGAACGTGCTGCTCAAGGAATCTCATGGACTGGAGAGTCATTTTCAAATTGGGAATGGCTCAATTTCGTTCCTTAAAGAGCCTTTTAGAGCAGAATATTTTAGTCAAAATCTCTGTGAATGCCTGATTGTTAAACAGGGTAGAATTTCAGCTCTTTGCGTCTCTCAGTTAAGTACTTGTCCTGTATTGTTCAATCATTTGAAGAAGTAAAACAGGGTTTAGGTTGTTTTTACTTGAATTAAAACCTGAGATTGCTTGACAGCTGTATGGTTGCCACTTGTATTGCTCAATCAGTGATGTGGCTGCTCTGCTAACGTGGAAACGTGGAGGTTTCCAGAAGTCTTTACCAACTGGGGTTCATGGCAAAGCTGGACACAAGGCATTAAGTAGGGAAGGTGCAGCCAACACACATAGGTAGGAGGTTTAGAAAACTCTCTTATTATTTAATATCCTTAGCAAATAGCATGTGCTTTCCTTCCAGCAGCCTGCTCAAACAAAGCTATAAATCACCAGCCTCCAGAAGTTACCTTGGAGGGTGCTGAGTGCTTTGGCCCGTTGCATGCTAAGTGCTGGGGTCAGGGCGCAGCGCAGCATCAAAACTGCTGTTGGCCTGCCTAAACATGTGGCTCTTCACGTGCTCATCCTCTGTTTGATTTCATCCTTAGGCTTTCTCTCAGGGTTTTATGCAGTGAAGGGGAATTGTTCATTCATGCTGTAGTTGAGGGAAGCAGTGAGACCTGTGCTTAGCTTTGCAGATAGAACTTATCGAAACCTGGCTCAAGTATGTGCTTAAAACTGTGGTTAAATACCTAAATTTGTGGAGCCTTCCTCAGCGGGGTCATTCCAGTACTGAAAATTAAGCATATGTTTAGTCTCCTCCCTGTATATTAGCTTTCAGATGATCTTTTAATCGCTTTCTAGTACCTAGAATGAGAAAGCTGGTCCCAAGAGATTTTCCTTTTCATTGCTCACAGTGGAGCAGAGAAAGTGAAACTGAACTCTTTCCCTCTATGCTTCACTTGTGTTAAATTTCTCCCTTCTCTTTCTCTCCCTGACCGTGCAGGAAGACACAGCACAGCTCCCTGGACCAGAGCTCCCCACCTCAAAGTGGCGTATCCGGCACCTACAATCACCCTGTCCTGGGGATGTACGATTCCAAAGATGACTTCCCACTCAGAAAAACAGGTAATGCTCCCATTGATTTTCTGTGTTACCTGCTGTCTTTGCCGTGACACTTGGTCCTTACATTTCCAAAAGAAAGAAAAAAAAAAAAGTGTACGTTGCCAAAAAGCTATATTTCATGGAGCAATTTATTTAAGAAGCGCTCACACCACCCCACTCTCCTCTCCCCCTTCCAGCTGTCACTGAGCAAGCAGTGTTAGAGGGAGGCTTTGGTTGTGCAGGCTTGCAGAGCTACATGCAGAAGACAGCTTCGTTGTGTGTCAAAGCTTGTGAGATGTTTTCACAGAGTCAAAACTAATACAGAGATCTGCGTGTCTGAAGTCAAAGTATGTTTTGCTGAGTGAGAAAAGTACCAAGAAAAGTTCATTTCTTCTGGGATTTGCATGTTATATACAAGTTTATACTTTAAATAAATAAAAACGTTTCTGCCAGTCAAAGTGTAGGGACTTCCTGCAAAGGTTTTGGTTCACACCTAGACAGTTATTTCTCAGTTAGGTTTCTCTCTGCATGGTGGCTAAGCAAGTCAGTTATTTCTCAGCTATATATTATGTAAACCAGTTTGTTTTGTTTGGCTGTGGTTCTCAGCTCCATATCACATGCCTTGGCCAACACTGCCTCAGCTTCTAACCTTGCAGGCTTGTGATCCTCAGCAGCCAGCTCCCTTCGGGGAAGAGCCAAGCTGCAACAAGCTCACCCCAATCTGGGGAGCTCTGCTGCTTGCATGGATGATGCACACAGTGGTGCATGTTGAAAATTGCTTCAGAACAGGAAAATAATCCTGTCTTGACTGAGCTTTGTGTGTCCCACAGGTGCTTCTAGCTATTTCTCAGGTTTGTTTTGTGGACCTTTAAATGTACAGGAATGAGCACTGGTGTTAGTGATTGTTGTGGTCAGGAATGGTAGTGGTATGTTAACCAGACCTTTCTATGGATTTACTACAGCCTTTGGTCAAATTGGCTGTCCTAAATCAGTTCCCAGGAGCTGGCTGCACATCCATTTCCTTCCAGGAGAGGCGTAGGTATTCTCATATTTCTTCCCCTAATAGCTGAAAGTCAATTGGGTCTTATGTGTCCTCATCATGATTCTCATTATCTCTTTAAATTGATGTGAAGGTGGAATATTCTATTTGTGTTTTTTTTTTTCTTCTTCTGTCATCTGTCTAGAAAAACATAACACTTGTGCACTGCTACCCTGTGCCTCCTGCCTCCCAGGTCTGTGCCTTTGAAGGCATTTTATGAACTGCTTCCACACCATAGTACCTGTACTGCTGGATGGATCTGTAGATGGTTTTCCCAGTCAGTAGGCATGCTGGGCTGGGCGGCAGGTACCAGAGACATCAGCTGCACAAGAATCAACTTAAGATGAGAAAGTCCTTCCCAGGGTGAGGGCTCTTCCTGTACACACCCTGTGCCTTCAGGGTAAGTGACTGACAAGAAAGCAGGCCCTTTCTGCAGGACTCCAAGGGCAGAGAGGGAAAAGAATTTGCTGAAGTGTAGAGCATCCTCTAATCTCCATTTCTAGATAATGACAAGCCAAACACTGTGTTAGGTGCAGCATCTGCTGCTGCGTAGTCCGTGTTGGAGACAGCCAAAGTGGCGCTGTCTGGGCCTCAGGACTTGTCCTTGCATGGAGGAGATGAGTGCTGCTAGAGGGCTGCCCTCAAAGGAGATTTCCTTCAGTTCTGGAGCTGTCAGCACACAAAGATGTGCTTTGCATACACATCTGTCAGGAAGAAGGAAGACTGGTCCTGGGCTGCTAGAATCCACCGATGCCGTCTGCTTCTTCTCTGCTGAAGGCTGTTGGTCTCCTCTGGAAATTCACAGCATGTCCTCACAAGGAAATGTCCCTTGGCATCATATGCTTGTGGACAGCACGAATCCGAAGACCTTTCTGCTCTTTTGAAACCAGAACCTCCACTTTGGGGGAGCGCACATTAGCAACCCCATGGCAGAAATGGTCTTTTATCAAAAGCCTCCCTCTCTTTAGGGCCATTTCTTGCCAGTTTTAATTTGAGAATAGATCATCCTTCTCACTGCAAATGCTCTAACAGTGGATTTCTGCAGGAGTGTCTGAACATACTCCTGTTGTTTCCTAGACTGAGTTCTGATTAAGCCTCTTGCTGATAAAACTGCTGTCGGACAGAGTGAATTAAAGAAGATAAACGTACCTAATGGCGTTATTAAAAATCATTGTTGTTTTAAAATAGGAGGATAGTTAGCTGATTTTGTTTTTCCAGAACACCGATGCTTATTCCTTGTGGGCACTGGCATTAATCTTCTGGAGATTTGTATGCAGCGCATGCAAGTTCCCTTGCAAGGTTCAGAGGAGACCTTTTTTGTTGTTTTCTTTTATTTTCTTTTCAATGTAACAGCAGTTCAGACTCTAACACAGTGATATCCTGCAGAAACTCCATTGCCAAGAATGTTAAGTTGCTTGGACTCCTGAACAGCCTGGTGTAAACAAAAGGCAGGGAAGGCTGGAGCCCATCCTAAATAAAGTTCTTTATTACAAGTGAGCTTTTCAGATTTTTGGCACCAGTCAAAACTCTGGCTTTGTATTTGTAATTTAAAACCGCCGTATCACGTAGTCCAATTTTATTAAATTAGATTAAATATTTGCAGTTCAAATAACAGAGTCCATCGCAGCACAGTTGTGATCCGCGGGGCTGGCATCAATCCAGTGTCATTGTTAGGGACGGGGGGACTCGGGACGCTGCAGGAAGGCACTTGGAGCAGTGATTTCTGCTAGGGTACATTTCTGGAGTTGGCAGCACGTTCTGCATGTTGAGTAATTGTTCAGAAAGAATGAACCTGTAATTGCAGTGGGTTTAAAAGTGCTACCCTTCTTCGCTCTGATTACTTAAAGCACTGCGACGTGGAGTGGTGTGTAGCAGCCCTCTGTGCACCCCTGGGGATCGCCTGGTAGTGGAACACTCAAGTGTGAATGTTGCATAAGAGACGTGATCGGCTGGCCACGCTCTCTTGAGTAAAAGTACATGTGTGCGTGAGCAGTGTCCTGAGAGTGCTTGGAAACAGTCAGCATGTGAAACAGCGAACACTTGCAGCGTGCTCTTAATGCATCCTGCCACCTGAAATCCCCCCTCCGGTTTGTTTTATCAAATTATGTCCCCGTTTGTTGGCTGTTCAGGTTCTGCTTGAGGTTGTTGTGCTGCCAGGCTCTGGCTGGTGCAGTTACCAATGGCCTGAACTTGCACTTAGCCTGGCTGCAGGGCGTGTTTCACTGAGTTCTCTCTAGCTGAACCCTTTGTGGCCTTCCCTTCCTTAACCGAACCAAGAATAGTTCAGCTGATGCCATTCATGCTTTTCTCCTTTTGCTTTAAATAACTTAAGACAAGGATTTCTTATTTCCCCACTTGTGTAGTTTCCTTAACTACGTATATGCATGCTTCCTTTGCTGTATGCATGATCTTGACATGCTGTTAATTAGAAAGCTGGAATGACCTACATCACAGGGATTCGTGAAAGACTGAAGAGCATTGTTTGACTTGTTAACATGCTTTTTCTTTTGCTTGTGTGGAGTTTTTTCTTTGCTTGTTTTTTTAACGTGCCATGCAGGGTTTAGCCATCAGACACTAGCTTTCCTTCTGGCTTCTGCAAAGGGCCGAGGATTCCTCACATTACTTGGGACTTGACAGCTAATCAGGATTTCTAATGGAAGCCACAGCGTTTCAATTAGCTGTCACTGAAATCAGTGGTTTTGCCAAGCACAGCACCTGCTAGACTCGCCTGGCCAACATGCATTCAGCTCTCTGGGATGCATGAACTGGAAACATCTCCCTGTCTGTGCATCTATATTTAAACCTGACACCCAAGTGGGGAAAAAAGCCATTTCTTCAGCAAGCTTATAAAAGATGTTCTGAGAAACTGTAAGCATGAATGTGCCTGCGTCCGCAGGAGTCATCCAGGCAGGCTGTGAGGTGAGGCAGGCCCAGGTCTTGCTGTGGTTTTGCTTCTGCTGTTGGATAAGGAGCAAGGGACAGCTGCTTGGTGTGCTTGGCTCAGACCTTGCACCCACCGTTCCCGTTCTGTGGAGAATCCAAGGCTCTGGCTCCTGCTTTTTGCTTTGCCTCCAGCCTGTCTGCTGGCTGCTTTGGCATGGTGATGATCAGGATGAGCATGGAGATCTTAGAGAGGCAAGGGATTCCTGTGGTCCCAAGTGTGTTTGCACTGCAGAACCATGGAGTAGCATCTCAGGGTGTGAATTTCCACTATTTCCAAAGCCAGTCTGAATGTAATGCCAGACTGGGAGCTTACAAAGACATCTTTGGCAAGTATCTGTCTCTCAGTTTCCTGGCTAGGTAGTAAATGAGCATGTGCATGTGTGTGGTGTGTACTTGGGGAGAAGCGACAACTGGGAAGTGTCACAGGCTCCTTTTTCAGCTCCTGTTCACTGAGGACCAGGCAAAAACAGGGATCCTGCACAACAGCTCGATTCCCAGCAATGCCTCTTGATAGACGAAGGAGAACTGGTTATACTGTGTCTTGGGGCTTGTGGTAAAAGCAAGCTGTCCTTAACCTTCACAGCCCACTTTTTCCAAGGAGAAGTTTGTGGCTCAGCATTGTCAGGGCCTGGCTTGTGCGTCTCTGCACTCCAGCGACTTCCTTCCAGGGACAAAGCAAGGCAGCAAACTGGGAGCTGCTCCTTGGACCTCCCCGTGGGTAGCACAGGTGGAAGGCCACAACGGCTGCTTGTTTTCTTGTACTTCAGCAGCTTCTGGGAAATGCCACAGAGGGAATCTGAGAAACACATCACCCGTGCTGATCCCAGCAACCACTTCAGCTTTCAGCCCTAAAAGGGAGCTAGGTGTTGTGGTGCTGGATCAAGACAGATGCTGATGAGGAGTATAAAGGAGAAAGGCATCCATCATCCCACCCTGGGCAGTTCAGTGGGTGGCAGTTCAGCTGTTGAACTGGATGGACTTAAAGTCCTTCCAACCCCAACATTGTGTGGTTCTGTGATGCTGTTGGTTTCCTTGCAGTGTT